CGTTGACGGGCAGGTCAACCTGGTTTGTATTTCGAGCAACTTAGTTGTTAGGAATTGTAATACCATGTATACTTGATTTCATTTAAGGTCTGACGAAGCTGTTAAGACAGCGAAAGCTCACCAATAAAGGTGTTTTGTGAACGAGTTCTCATTATCAATTTTCCGAAGAAGAACAAATGGTAGTGTACAATTTGGTTTCAATCCAGCATCAAGTAGGGAAAAGACATCAGCACATCCAAACAGAACGGTTGGTTGGACAGTCTTGATGGAGGGATCGATGGAAAGATGCATGTCGTTTCGGAACAGAAATTCCTTGTCCTCTTTGCTGAGACTGTTGCAAGGTAGGGTATTGTGATCCTCCCAATATGGGACTTCGATACTGGTTGCTTCGAAGCCCCATATTTCAAATACCGTTTCGCCACAGGGTTTCATAATTAGCTTTTGGGAAATCAAATGTGTTAATCTACAAGTTTATGGGATCGTTGAGTCGAAGTCGGTGAACCAAGTCATCGCTGATGAATGAGCGTTCCGCCCCTGTGTCGAGCATGAAATGAAAAAGGATCCAAGGCCCGAGCCGTCCAACTAGAATTTGGGCTGCTAAATTATCTTGTGTGTCACCGACATGGTGAACGTTATGTTGAGCAGATTTTGGGGAGTCTATAAAATTTGGTCTTGGTCGACGAGGGACGCTTGACTGGTTGAGGCCTCGTGGATGTATCAGTTGATAACTGTTTTTGACGGATAAGTTGCTGGTTGTTCGAGGGAGGCTCAACTTTTACAGATAGAGGTGTGATGAACCGTTTCTCTGCATATACTGCAGGCTCTCTTGTGCAGATTGAAGCTACGTGAACTCCTTCACCACAGTTATAGCAGAGTTTTTGCCGCAATAATAATCTCAACACGTTAACCCAACGTTGTGGCTTCGTTACACTCCCATGTTATGTCTACTTTTCCCGCAGAAGAAACAAGAGTTCTGACTGAACCCGCGATACGTGGTTCCATGAGGGACGTCTGACTTTGTTCGTTTGCTATTACTAATAGACCACTGTTTCACTTTGTAGGATATTCGGATCTCATCTTTGATGTATTCTTTTGCTGCTAACAGTAGCGATTGAGGTGTCCCATGTGCCGTCGGGCTTCTGTTTTGACTTTTGCCGAAAAGTGCATCTTTGGACGTCGCGGGGAGATTGCGAAATAGTTGTTTCTGTAGAAATACGTTATCAACATGCTCTTCCTTGATTCGCCACCAGAGTAAAGGTGTGCCGTGAAACTTCGAACTGCTTCACTGACTCTCTAGCATTTCTTGGAGCAAGGCATCCAGGAGGTAGTTGAGTTTGTAGAGGTCATCAATGTTTCTCGAATGAACGGTGTGCTCAGAATGTTCCCCATCCCCAGATATCGCCACTAAATTTGGGGACGGGGACTGCAGCTAGCTTCATTATTGATACTTCAGATGAAGCCATGAGAATTAGCACTTCAGAAGACTCCATTCCTTGCTGAAGTAGTGTCAAGGTGTTTGTGCCTCCTGTGCTTCGTCCGGCTTGCTCTGCGAATGTTTGGTGCGACTGCCTTTTGTAGGAGATCCGACCTCGCTGATTCTTCCACTTCCACGCTATGGACGCAGTGTGGTATTCTTTTAATGCGATCTCTACCTTTTCCGATTCCATTTGATTGGTGTAGTAATTTGTCTACTCCTAAGTATGGTCGTAGTGAGAGAAGATCTGCTCCGCGATAAGAGGTTAGCCTATTCTTTGTCCACTGAAGAATCCTATGGCGGTTCGCTGAAGACAATGATGACATATTCAAGTGACTCATGGAGTTGTTTTTATTTCGCCGCTTCGAGTGACGAAAGTAGCACGTTCATGTGAATGCGGACTTCGATGCCAAATGCAGGGAGCATTTTGGGTATTTAGCGCTATTCAACTTTCTGCTCCAGAAATCTCCTTTTTTTACTGAAGCATCGAGCGCAAGGGTCACAACTATGATTTTCGTCTCTCCTCCGGTGCCATTTGGCGCTAATGTGCGCTAATATGGTGCCACAGTCTTCCACGAAAACCAGTGTAAGCTTGCATATTGACGTGATTTGACATTTTGAAGTTTCTCAAAACCTCCTGGTGGAAAGGAGGTTTCGAGCCGAGCGGAAGTAGTACTCATGTAAAAAAGGTCCAACCAAC